TTAATGGACTTAATGCAAGCCATTTATAATTAATTTGGTATTTTTCACTAGTTCTCCAACCTACTACTGTTTGGATAATGTTACGACGATCACGGATATATATGGTTTGTTATGATTTTCTTCATTAAATAACTTCAATTTACTGCTCTTTTTTAACATCGTCTCCTAACTCTCTGCCCAATTTTTATTTTAGTCACTTTTATATTTTCCTATATGTCTCAATTAATAGAGTTATCCCAAAATAAATCACGAAAAAAATCATAACTTTCTTTAGAATTGACCTACAAACATAAATTTAGGGCAATCCTCCAAAGTCCGGTCCCAAATTATTTCGCATGAAAAAATTGCAATGCACAGTGTCTATTGTTAGAAAACAGCAGAAATGTCAGTCATAGCGTTTGCAAATAACTGTCACTTTACAAACTAGTCAGTAAATACTAAATGTTTTCATTGGCGCATAGCATTTGCAAATAGCAGCCGAAACATTCTGCTTGTGACTGTTGCGCCACTGAAGGCTCCAAGTAGCTGGCAAACAGACCGCGACTAGTACCACTCTGATAGCGGAGTTTATGTTTCGCTTGCATCCAAAGTCCTTCAATAATTTATGTGTGAATGTCCTGGTCTACTGGATCAACAAATTCACGCGCCTGCACAATGACAGCGTGAGCATAAATCCCATTGTTGAGCTGACCGACATTTTGATATCTTCGCCAAGCGTCCGTGACGATAGTTGTCCCTGGTAACACATGATTAGTAGTGATAATGCGCTCGAGTGTTTGTGCATCTCGACGGCCGACAGCCTCCATCCAACATCGTCCACTAATGCAAACATGACTTTCAAAACAGAATGATGCCCAAGACTTATAAGTAAGGAGTAATCACTGAAAATAATTTGGGACCGGACTTCGGAGGATTGCCTAAATTTAGTGTCAATGAATTGCATTTTTCAGGCCCTATCTAACCAACTAGCTCTTAAAGCTATAAATTCATTTTTAAAATTTTACCCAAGTACCTATTACTTGGTACTCTGTTCTTATTAAAGTAGCAGTTGGTTTTGTGCAGCATCTATCATCTATGCTGTATCAATTAAATATTGTTTTGATAGAGTCAAGTGAAGTTAATGAGGTATGTCTTCTTGTATTTCTATAGTATAAGGTTTCAAAAATCGATTAGATTGTTGAAAAAGTGCTATTTTACAGTGCACAAAGAATGTGGCTTATTAGTTATTAGAGCAAAATTGAAAAGACGTGGGTGCTGGATTTTTTCTTGGCCGACGCTCAAGTGGTAGATTACCTATAGAACTATATTTAACATAGAGTTAAAAAATACAATAAAATTATAAACATAAACGTATTCTTACTTGCTTTTAGCTTTACGTCCCACTGTGCTTCGTATTTCTTCAACGCTACCGGTTCATAAAGGTCTTCAAAATATGGCACATGTCTCGATTGATAGTAATGGCTCTAAGATGGCAAACCAACAGGAAGTATCCGTCATAACCGTCACGTGACCAACCGAATATTATAAAACCCTCACGTGACCAGTCGGGTCCGAATAGCCAATTAGCCACTCCGATATTTAAATTATTTATTAAACCATCTAACAATATTACGGAGTGAGGGCTTGGTTATGTAAAAGTAAATGGAGTGATAAAATATTTAGAACACTTAAGCTAAGCAGCATAAAAATGCAATTTATATCCCCTGAAATAGTATATTCCCAATTTGAAATGAGGAATGTTGCTTCAATTTTCATGTTTTTGAAATGATAAACTAAATTAAGCTTCCTCAACATCCTCATAGTCATAGCCATTTAAAAGCTGTAGCCTTTTAGGTGCGTCTTTGCTCAATGGGAGTCGCTTAGTCAATTATTTTGTCACGTGATATGAGTAAAAACGAGTAAGATTTCCGGTATACTGTATACAACACACTAGTGCTTGACAACAGTAGCCCGATACACACTACATTTCGACCAATGAAAATTAACAATAAAATAAACAAAGGGGAATGACTCCTGCATCAATATTGAATAAAAACGCAAATGACGTCATGAGCATGCACGGAGCTCAACAACATCCTGCCGATAATAGTATTGATAGTTCCTATCGAATATCGCTCACAAATTTTTCGTGAAATAACTTTCTTCCTTTAATTATAACTGACGTATATTTATTGTCACATTTATGTATTTCATTTAAAAAACGCTTGCATTCCATAATATTACGAAAGGTAAAATTTTTAATTAACATGACATTGGCATTGGGGAAGCACTGATGAAGTATCTTTTGTTGTGTGTAACATCACGTGACCAAACAAGGAAGTGACTAAGCGACTCCCATTACTCGGCTTTTTAAAGAGAGATAATAAATGAGGGACAGCGTACAAGCCGTAAAAAATAAAACTTTAAAAAGGAGAGTAGTTAGATTTCTTTTAAGTAAAGAGCTTTGCCAAAACAAAGTTAAAAAAACAAAAAAACTTACATTTATTAGATTTTGTGGTTTCGTAACAAACTAAATAGTACCGCTTGTAGCAGCCCACGGGTCATTTAAATGGAAAGCAGATAAACAAACAAATGCTCATGTGTGCGTGTTTTTTAAATTTAAAAAAAAACGACAAACGAAATCATTCCTTGTATTAACAATTTACTTTCTCAATTACAAGGGTAGTGTAGTTATCTTCCATCAAGTATAAGAACTTTACAGAAATGGTCAATCATTCATTTCAAATGACCACACAAAAAATTATAATAATAATAATTTAAAAATAATCATTTGTAACCATTTATAATTATTCAAGACACACAGGCACATCACTTTAACAAATGCATTTATGGAATAATAGATCAATACACAATTATATAAACATAATAGATATCATATGAAGTGTATTAGGCTTAGACAGTTCGCTAAATGTGGGAAATATATATTTGAATTCCAAAATTAAGTGAATGATGTAGCACAGTTTTTGTATCACATTATATTTTAAGTTTCTAAAAGAAAAAAAATTATTGAAATCCTTTTTCGTTTGTAACATGGTGGAAGTGGAAATGAAGCCAGCAGAGTATTTTTTGAAGAAACAAGGTCTTTAAAATTCAAAAATATTTTTTATCTTAAGATTATTGGATGAATCCTTAGGCCGGGATTTCAATGCATGTCGGATAAATATTTCTTTTTAATCATGAGAAATAGATTGGGTTTTTAAAAAGTATTAATAACCAAACAAATAAAAGCAATCTATAGGTTAAAATAAAAGCAAATTATGGATTAGCCAAAATACTGTCACAGAAAAACCAGTTAACTTGATAAAAACTGAACTTGTTTCATGTAATAGGATTAATCATATAAAAGTGGAGATGAGTTTCTAAACATTTTTCTTTTGTTCCCTTCGGACAACTTTCCTTTGAAGCCCAATATTTACAGAAAATGAAACAAAGAGAACTATGCAGGAATTTGATTCAAACAACTTACATCTTTGTTGAGTCGAATGGATAAATTAATATACAATTAAAGCACACACTAAGATCTTAACTGAATATAATTTTTTTTCTGTTTTAAAAAAGTAAAAAAACAATAAACCTGTTCTAGGATTAAATTTTGAAAAGCTCTGTTAATGCAAATTAAATATTGTCATTTAAAAAAAATGAATTTGACATTTATTTGTGGAAACAATAACTTACTGGAATTGGAATATTTTTGTTTTGGTTAAAACATGATACAAGGTTTCCTATAGCCTCCTAAATTTTATGAGAAAGTATACATTTTATTTAGAAACTCAATTATTCTTGATTAAATTTCATTTTTGTGTCATATTTTCATATCATAAACAGAGACCAAAGGCAACTTTTTTTTATCACATGAAATAGACAATTTTGTATTTAAAAAAATTAAATTCCTATTTTAAGACATAGCTAAAATGTTAAATTTTAGACTAACTGTTAATTTAGATTCTAAATTTTATTACTAACTAACTTAAGAAAATCAGCGAACACCGAGCCCTTGTAGGCTCATATGGTCCTCCCCAACGCACCACCCCGCCAACCAAATCGGCCATCAACCACTCCCCCAGTGGTCTTTACTCCGCCCCTAAGACTGCCACACCCGACCTCCACTCGATTGGCCGCTGAGTGTGGCAGCCCCAGAGAAGAAACACCTGGCCAGCCAGATCGCTACTCACGCAGCAACAGGGCCGGGCTTTCTAAGGGGTTGGGGTGGATATTTAACGTCTCTAAAGTCCCCCCTTACTACCCCGGGGGGACCGTGTAGTTGTTTAAGACCGACGCAAAAAATTTTATTACTTAAAAGTACCAAGATATATTCAGCCTTCATTTTGTTTTCTTTTTTTAAATTAAAATTAATGTATTAAAAAATTATCACAAGTAGCCCCTGACAATCTGAACTATTGCTGATAACATCTTAATACAATGTTAATAAGTTAGCTTTCCTCAAAATCTGTTTCACTGCAGTTTACTTTCTATATTCAAGCCAACAGAAAAGCAATCTCTACATAAAATTGCACACATTGCATCACATTAACCATATTTTCATCAAGACCTTAGTACCAAAGAGTTGTGTTTATATATATATAATATTAGGAACAATGAGTTTGCAGTTTTAAGATCAAACCTCTATATACTTCCTCCTAATGAGCCCCTAAAATTGTTTAAAGTTTTTAATAATCTACTTACTTAGAGGATATGCTAGCACTGACCCGGTGTTAGCTCCATAACCAAAAGCCAAAGGGCTCACACAAAAAAAATGATCATATCAAATATCCATGTTAGTATAAGCAATGCTATCTAAATTAATAAGCAACACAATGTGAAAAAAAAAAAAAATTCTACTTTCAAATAAAGATTAAAATATTGTAAAGCTTCCACAAATTATGTTAGTCACTTCAATAGTTTCAAAGGCAAAAAAGTATTTTGCTGTTTTTTTTACATAAAAAAACAAAAGATTAATCAAGTAACTTAATTTTTAAAAAAGTCACCTTAAAATTAGTTAATACATAGAATCCAAAAAACCCAAAATTACACTTTGTATTAGTTTTCTTCTAATGTCGCAATGCATGGCACAGAATTTTATGCATTAATACATAATTTCAACATAAATTTTGGACAAAAAGATTAATTTATCTAACCTAACATATAGTTAGGTAATGGCTGAACACTGTCCTGTGAAAACTAGTATAAGAAATCAAATTATTTAAAAATAAGTTATCACAACAATTGGTTTGTAGAATCCATTGCCTCCCTTTGTATTCTTAAGAATATATAAAGGGACTATGGTTTTAAACAATGGAATGACATCAAAAGAATATGCCTCAAATTAATAAACTCAACTTAGCTTCTTGCTTAGAAAATGTCACATTTATCTCTGTTAAACAGAACAAAAAAGGTAAATTGATACTGCTATAAAATGATGGAAAACATCTGATTAAATTGTATTATTCAACATCAAAGCCACATTTCTGTAAAAAAAAATAATTCTGTGTTGAAAACACATGTTTGAAATACATGATCCTCTCTGTCAAGGAAAACGACATTATTTGATTATGGTATTGACAGTTAGTAAATTACTTCTTCATTATGTAAATAAATGTATATGTATACAACAAGATAAAGGGAAAAAAAAGAGAAAGCTCATAAATATTAACAGAAGCAACAAACTGTACAGTTATTATAACATATTAAAGCTAGAAAACAAAGCCCCTGTAAAACAACCACCCATGAAGTCTCTACTCTTTAAGCTATAATATTACAAGAACGGTACAGGTACAAGTTTACTGTCTGCTGAGCCAAATGAATATGTGTCCCCATTCTAATTCTACACCTCATTTTTTTTTTAAATTCAGTCAATTAAGTAATGCATGGTTTCAAAATACAATATTTCTTTATTAAAACTTCAAAGGAAAAATAAAAAGTTTGTGAATTGCAACACTGTCAAAGATTCTAAAACTTCTATGTCTAGACACTTGCTTTTGCAATTGTGCCTAAGGCATGCAAGCTCTATCAAATAAACTTTAAAAACAGAAGAAATGTATTAATTTTACGTCAATGTTAATTGACCATACACTACTTGTGTTTTTTTTCAAGGATTTTAAAGATTTTTTTAAACCCATACTTTAATGTTACTTATAACTTAACTTTAGGGAAATGTTTAACAAGTTTTTAGTCACCCAAATACTTGACAAAACAGTTTGAAGCACAAAATGTGATCTATGTTGCAGATTCATTTTATACCAAATAAACATCATTTATTTTCATTACATCCAAACTTTGGGCTTATTTTGGTGCGATTGAATCATAAATATTGCAGTTGTTATGAAACAATTGTTCAAACTTACAATTTGTACAATAATTTAAGACTGTAATATTTCTCCTTTATTATCCATTAGAAAAATATATGGTAGCTTCTGTCTTCCAGATATAGTCATTTTAAAACCATTTAAAAAAACAAATAATGCACAAAAAATATCTTGCAGTCAATGCAGAGATTTTACAATCTTTGTCGTTATAAAAAAAATTTGTGAACTTTAAAAACTGGAAAGAAATTGTGATATTGGAAAAATTAACACTTCCATTCATTAAATACTGTAATGGGTGATTTTAGGTAACTGATAGCAAACCATAAGTTAAATCAAAATGAAAAGCTGGATAGAAATACAAATGAATTTAAAATCTTTGCTGTATAAAATGACAAAGTAAAATAGGTGAGATTTATGAACTGGTTGAAAATTTGGAAAGTGTAAACTTCACAACATGGGTGAGTTGTAGAGCTTCTTTGTGACAAGCATGATGAGGGCTGGATGACAGGATGATGCAGCTTTCACAAAACCGTCACTTTTACAACCTTTCAATGTTTCTCCTTCATTCCATCTTTAGAAGTTCAATGTCAAAAATCAAGGTGGCATTTTTTGGAATAGTAAGAATATTAAGGAATAGAAAAATGTTGCCATGTTGTTGCATTTCTACCATTCTATTTTTTTTACAATTTAAAATGTATCTCTTAAAATAATCTTTCCCATCAGAAATTAAGTCCGGTTAGATGGGATTCGTTTACATGTTTTTTAATGAGGAAAATTTCTTTGAATATGACATTATTAGTCTACCAAATTCTCAACAAACTGTGATTTATCAACTCAAATGTCACCATTGCTGATCAAGGGATTAGCCAAAAGTGACTGTCCTCAACATTTTTAGCAAATTATGTGATTTTGTGGTTTGATATTCCGCGCCATGTTTGTTACCACTTCCTGTCTTACTTAAAGCGTAGCATAACTCTATTCCTGCGTGTGCTCTTAGACTGATACACACCGGAGTGACTTGTGGTATGTTCAATTACAATATTACATATATACCATTGTGGTAACGGCTCTGGAAAATAAATTGTTCACCTGTGATGCCAAGAGACCAGAAATGGACGCTTTATGACAATTTAGACTTCAGTAAGAAGACAGTTTTCCGCACAGCTGGTACTGCTCACTGTGTTTGTAGACATTTTACATAGAGCATCTCGATCTTGCTCTACTCAATCTCTGCCCTTAGGCCGTCAAGACTGGTACTATTGTATCTGGCCTGCATCCTCCTCGCAAATTCATACTCTCCTGAACCCAACCCTTGACCGAACGTCGCTACGAGTGCTGGCTGTCCTCCCTTGCATACCCCCTCATGTTCCAAATCCCAAGCATCATAAATCTGCGGAACATGTGACCTTGCTGTATGGTGGGAGGACAGAGGCGTTGCCTGTGAACAATGTGGGCAATGATTCCATGGTCACAGCATTGACACAGCTTATTACAATCAGCATGCTGAAAATTCTGGCATGCTGTGGTACTGGGTGTCAAGAACAAGCGCTTTTGGAGCTATGTGAAGCACCAAAAGTCCTCAAACGCAGGAGTTTCCTTCCTGAGGTGGGATGGCCATTTGACATCTGACCCAAAAGCACAGGCTGACATACTCAATCAGCAGTTCCAGTTGGTCTTTGGTGATGGTAGAGAGTACTCGGAGGCTGAGTTCCATCTGAAGACCAACATGATGAACAGAGCCTACCCCGTCCTGGAAGATATCCAGATTTCAGGGCAGGGTGTGCTTGCCCTCCTCAAAACCATTAACCCCTACAAAGCATGTGGTCCTGACAATATCAAACCAAGAGTGCGCAAAGAATTAGCCAAAGAAATCGCTCCTGCACTGACAATCCTCTTGCAAACGTCACTGTGCACAGGCAATTTTCCAACAGCCTGGAGAATAGCACATGTCATTCCAATCTACAAGAAAGGGGAGCATTCTGACCCTGCCAACTAACGTCCAATATTCCTCACCAGAGTGGTATGCAAACTATTGGAGTACATAATCGTAAGCGAAGTCATGAAGCACCTTGAAAGCCAAAATATACTCAATGACTGTCAACATGGCTTCAAAGTCAATAGATCATGTGAGACCAAGCGTCTTGAATTTGTAGAAGACTTGATGACCAATCTGGAGAACAGCAAGCAAACTGACGTGCTGGTGATGGACTTCTCAAAGGCATTTGACTGTGTCAATCATAGTTTGCTATTACACACACTTCAGAGATATCGGAGCCAAGGCACTACTAAAACATGGATCTCTAGCTTCCTCAGCAACTGATACCCAGCAGTAGTGGTGGACGGTACAAGCTCCTCCTTTGTCAGTGTTAGGTCAGGGGTCCCCCAGGGCTAGGCCCCTGTTTGTTCCTAGCATACATCAATGTCCTACCCGAGAAACTGACATCCCAAGCAAGACTTTCGCAGATGAACAGATCTGACCAAGACCAGCTACATCAGGATCTCAATCGGCTAGCTGAGTGGGAGATGAGCTGGGACATGGAATTTCATCCCCCTAAGTTCCAGACACTGTCAGTCTCTAGAAGTTGTACTCCTCTACACTACCATTACGAACTCCATGACCATATACTTAGGCCAGTTTCCTGCATGAGGTACCTGGGTGTTACCATTCAAAGAGAGGTCCACTGGGACGAGCATATTAATACAGTGTGACACCAGGCAAACAAGACCTTGGGGTTCTTAAGGTGTAATCTAAAGATCGGCAACTCCAGTGTGAAAGAAAGAGCCTATAAAGCCTTGCCCGGCCGCTTTTAGATTATGCATCTTGAGTTTGGGACCCATTTACCCAGAAGAGCATTGACAGGTTGGAGACTGTCCAACGACGGGCAGCATGCTTTGTTCTGAACCGCTACAGGAACACCTCTAGTGTTGGCAGCATGCTGGAAACACTGGGCTGGTCACTATTAAAGGAATGACAACGACTCTCCATGAGGTATAAAATAAATAATGGTCTGGTCCACTGCTCCAGCATTAAACAAAAACTTGTACCTCTCCCCCATAGACAGTGATGAGGGCCATGACAGGCAGTTACGGCTCATAGCAGCGAGAAGCCAGTATAGGAACTGCTCATTCCTGCCAAAGACAATCAAAAGAACAGTTGAGGCAACAACACTTGACACATTTGTGTCTATTGCCTCAGGCCTTCCAACCCCCAGTGCATGATACCCTCACTAAATAGCCCTTGCAACCAGTGAGATATCCTCATCAACACCAGGCAAAGAACCATTGCTAATCCCCTCTACATGCATAGGAGGCAGAATGATCAATAAATTGATCATGACCCCTTAATTATAATATATAGAAGAAGTAGTCAATTAGAATGGCAAAAAAACTTACAAAGTTAAGATTGCCATCTCATATCCTGGTTTGACCAGATTAGATCAGCTTCATAGTACCAATGGGTTTGAATTCAATTTCGGTTAACATACTGATATCAGAAATAAGTGGTTATTAAATACCAAGTTCTAGCATTACCGAACCCAGGTTTATTTGTTGATGTTTGAATTCAAAACTCATGTATTGGCTATGTGGTCAGCCAAAAGTGATGCCCTATTATTTATACATGTTACTAGCCACATCACAACACAAATGTGTGAGACTGGGCATTTGGCATACTTTGTGGCTTTTGTCCATTTTAACAGGCACAACGTTTTTTTAAAAAGTTTCTAACTCAAACCATGTGGCCCTTTAGATATGTGCTAAGTTTAAAAATCTTTAAAATTATGTTTACCCTAAAAGCCATAATATAAGTTAATTCTTTAAAATAAAAGTAAATAGGCTTCAATTTGAAAAGGATATGCACCAGGGTATCCTCTTGCACCATAGGCGAAGTCTGGTGAACAAACAAGTCTCGCTCTTTCTCCACGACTCATCTGAAAAACACAATGCAATTTAATTAGTTAAAAATTATCCTCATTTCTTTCCCATTTTTTAAATTGTAAGAAATTGATGCCTCTAAATAACAGTAAGTAAATTTAGTCTCATTATGGGTGCAAGGTCATTTCACTGCATTAATACTTTGTTAAGACTTCCAATTTTATCAAAGATGTAAATTACAATTAAAAGAAAGGTCAAGGCTGTATAAAATTAGTTACCTTCGATACACCTTCATCCCAACCTGTATGAAAGTAATTGTTTAATCAAAAGTCAATTTGATGGCATGACAAAATGAAAAAAATAAGTTTATGTGTATATGTATGTATACATTATTAATATATACTTGTATATATAAATCTCTTGCAACCAATATTTAAGTATACCTGTTTTTTTAAAGCTTCAAATTTCTTGTTTTTATTTGAAATCAATAATAAGATGATATGCACAATATGAAATATATACCTTTTATAACTTCACCTTTGCCAATACGAAATTTGAAAGGGTTGCCTCTATCACGTGATGAATCTATTTTTTGACCATCTACTAATGATGCTATAAAAATCGGGTAAAGAAATAATATATTAAAACCTAGAAACTTAATGTTAACAAAATTCCTTTATCTGCTGTTTAAGATAAAATAAAAATTATATTATTGTTTTGAAGATTCCAAATCTCTAGCTTTCTTTATTTTGCTTCTACTTTTAAAATTGTTTCAAAATTTTTCATTTATTTCTGCCATGATAAATTTGCAAGCAAAAAAAAAATTTTTTTTAAAGATGATAATTGGTTAAGTGACAATAAACAAAATCAAGCTACTACGTTCATATTTTTAATTCTGCTAGGAAATGGTATGAACTTACCAGTGTAGTGAATTACAACTGTTTGACCTGTTTTGGGGTAAGTTGCACCTGAAATTGAAAAAGAAAATAAGGTACTAGAGATGGCACTGGAAAAATATTTAAAATTTTCAATTTTTAAAAAAGAACTTAAGTCTTAAGATAGCTGTTTAAAAAGATGGCACACCAAGCTATCCAGTAGGGTTTTATTTTACAGATGGTTTATGCCTCCCTATGGTCAGTTGTCTTACTTGAGCCAAGTCCCCCTGGCTATTTTACAATGATTAGATGGAAACAACACTGTTATCTCAAGGTAAAGAGGTAGGCAATGTTAATGCTGCACCTTGAAGTTGAAGGCCATAATTTTGATTATTTTATTGTAATTTCCAGGCATACTAAATTTTAAAATGTTATGGCTATGGAGTTTAATCATAACATGACATGTACCTTTATCAATCAATCATGTTATAAGTTAAGGTGCAAACCAAAAAAATATTTACATGCGATAATAAAAAATACGAAATTCGATCAGATATAATTTACGCACCTAAACTGCAAGATTACCAATAATATACTAGTCTGTCTATAGTATAGACTATATAATATTATATGTTAGTATATATAATATATTATATAGAAAAGAATTTGAGTTGACACTAAAATACTAAAAGTAAGACAGTAATTTAGAGTATTTTTATACTTTGCTATAGGCTATTGTATGCTACACTTTCAATGAACAATAACAATGTTATATTTTTTGTAGGTTGTTATGTAGGCCTAAGTAAAACTAGTAATTTTTAAGTAATAAGCTAGACAAAAGACAAGAGTGTATAAAGTCAAGTAATCTACATTTCTACAGTACAGTCCAAGTACACTTAGCTTTACTCTTCAGTCTTTATTAAGTTATAGTTATTCGTCTACACAGTACAGTATTTTATTTTAATCTGGAAAAATGAATGATAATTTTACAAACAAAAAAAACAAGGGGGTGCATAATTACCGTCTCCAGGGCTTATAATTTGTTTTTCCACCCCCATCGGCCGACGGATAGAGTCATTGAGCTGTGGCTGTTGGCGAGACACCACAATTGACGGAGACACCTCGACCAGTGTCAGTCTGCACTTCTTCCACTTTCTGTTTTCAAGATTGCCAGGTAATGACAGTCAATGAAAAGTCTAAAATATGTTGTTGGTTTTTTTTAAAGTATAAAATGCACAATTTTTTAATGAATTTACATTGAGGCAAATTTATATAATATATTTGGGTAGTTAAATTTTAATTTTCTTTAAATGTATTTTTCCGCGTCAAATATTCTTCTAGTAAATTGTGCTTTGTAATGAATGAAGAATTTGACTTATTAAAGCAAACGGGCAGTTTTTCTATTTTGGTTTTGCTGTCTGGAGAAGATTTGTTCAATGATACTATTACTGCTACTATCTGTTAATAAGTGGGTAATTAAATATCCCTTTTTTTCTTCTTCAAGATGGTTGATAATTCTAAAAATCGTTAATTTTACCATACAATTTAAAAATATCATTAAGATCTTCTCATCAAGTGAGACTGGAGTTAAGAGAATTTGGTTTCATCGATACCCTTCTTACTGGTGTCACTGGACATTGGTTGACGCATGCTTCAAACAATAGAAGGGGGCGTCCATTCAGTACGTCAACAATTTCTTACTAGTTTTTTACCCCCTTACCCCGCTTGTCAACAACTGTCAAACTTTCAATGATTCCCCCCCCCCCCCTAATTATGTTCAACATTAGCAAATGAATTATAAAATAAATATATAAGTACATTTTACTTTGTGCTGATCTATTTTAATCACACAAAATTTTAGGAAAAACATTTTATTACATCAACAAGTTAAAAAATGTTTACACGTACATTTTATAATGCAGAATCAATTAAAGTGTTGTTAAGACTAAATAGCATTGTTTGTAGAAGTATAAATGTGATTATTGTCAGTATCGCTGACAATTGTTTAATTGTAGCATAGTTTCTAGCTGCTGTCATCTTCCCAGGGAGTATGCAGGTTTTGCTCTATCGATACAATGAGAATAGTAGCTGACATGGGCGCCCGCAGAAAACTTTCTAGGGGGGGGGCAAAAAAATCGATTAACTTTCCAGAGGGGGGGGGGGCAACATTTTTTAGTAATGTTTTAAACTTTTTTTAGTAATGTTTTAATATAGTTTTAGTTTACTGTAGCGTATTTGTATGGTGAACGAACGGACAGGACATCAGCTTAGTTACTTTCTCTTTATTTTCTCTTTACTTTAATAAATTTTCTGTCTATTTTTGTCTAAAAAATTTTTATCCAATCAATCCAGGGGGGGGGCAAGTGCCCCCTTGCCCCCCCTGCGGGCGCCCATGGTAGCTGATTTATTGTTTTCATATTGCGAACTGATATACCAGACAAGTCAACATCATCCTCATCTTACCATTAAGCACTTAAAATAGAAGCATTGTCAGTGTGAGCAATAATTGCCATAAGCTCTCTCTGAGACTCTCTGTCTGCTGGCAGCTACTTGTATTTAATAGTCGAAACCTTTTTTTGTTGGAGAGTAGGTGGTAATTTATTGTGCTCAAGAGTTCATTGTTGGTGTTATTGAACATTCTATTTCCACATGACTTGTGATGCAAAATAGATTTTACATATTTTGCAAATCCGTTCAAGAAGTGATGTTATTATTGTTAATTACTTTAATTTCCCCTAATTATTAAAATATCGTATTCCTACTCTATCAATACCATTTATCTTGACTGCATATGGCACTTGAACCCTGTCCTTGTTCCATACCTGCAACATGATTGCAAACATACCACCCTCGTCATTTATGACAACAGAATCCAAAGGGGAAGAAATGCCAACTTTTGACTTCTCTTGCACTAATAAAGTGTGCTAATATTCTCACCAGCCATCAGCAGTGCACTGACAGACACACATTAAATAAATCTAATATTGTTAAAAGCCTAAAAATTATATAACTATTTACACTCATTAAATTTGTTAAAATAATGTAATTACCAGTCAATTTTTAAAATTAAAATTTTAATAGAGAAAACATGATTGTTTACGTCAACTAATCTACCCCCTCCCCATTGTCAACAATCCTCAAGCATTTTCAAACCCCCTCCCTCCCTATTTTGTTGACATAATTAATGGACGCCCCCAAGAGAAGAGACAAGGAATACAATAGAGGTTGACTTCAGTGCATGGAGACTTGGAGATCGCCAATAATATAGGAAGGCTGTCCAGCGCACACCTAAACGACCATAAGTGACCAGTTGAGACAAACCAATCCTAAGCCTTAAATGCAAAAAAGCCAAGATGAGGAAGAAGCTACTGATGATAGTGAACATACTCATTTTTATAACAGCAAAATGAAGATGTTACAAAGTTTAAATACAAAGAATATGATTTCAAAACAAATACAGATATTAACGATGAAATCATTGTTTTTATCCGTAAAGAATATCCGGCATTTCGGAATTTTACTTTTATCTGAAGATCGTTCTACCCGAGGATCCATTGTCAACACAGAGCCGTTCTTAGGAGTTTGGGGGCCCTAAGCATGGAGCGTAGGTTGGGGCCCCAGAAGGGGGGGGTCCGGGGGTGGAGCTCCCTCGAACTGAGGAGAAAACACCACTGTGGCACCTCCATTCTGCCTTCATCAATGTTTCCTCTTTTCCATTCCCACGGCCAAGCCCCCGATTTCCTGTCTGCCACCCCCAAAGCTCCCCTCCTGCTGCTTCCCTTCCCCTGCCTTCGAATTCAACACAGAATGATAAATTTCAGGATGAGGAAGGTAACGTGAGTGACACAGACGGCTGCAGTGCCAGTTTAAAAAAAAAATGGGGGATCGAGGGCGCCTCACGGTGGCACCCTCACGTTCTGTGCCCTACGCGGATGCGTAGTCAGCGTATGCCCAAGAACGGGCCTGGTCAACACAAAGACCAGCATCTCTAAACGTAATAATAATAGCTTGAGTGTCAATGGATCAAAGTGCTTGCAAACTACCAACGCAACACAGCAGAAGCTTGACATCTTCCTGATCAAATAAAATATCAAATGAATAATTAATGCGCCAATCGGGAGTGGCAACATTGCTCGAGAATGCTTCGAGTCATTTTGTGAAATGTTTTTATCGAAGTTATTCTTCATAGACAAACACTAAACCGTGACATAATAATAAAAATAGGCAATTGCAGTTTAAACCAAAAGGTCAAATAATATTTTTTTCTCCACGAGGGACGTATTAGGGTCTTTCAAACCAGGGCTTTAGAGCGGAGATACAAGCTACAAAATTAATAAAAATGAATTTTAAAAATAATAATAAAAAATATAATTTGAACATTTAATTTTTATATATAACATTTTTTTTACAATTAATGCCCAACTCTTCTAACAACTATTTTGCCCCACTCTTCTATGAACTATGGTGCTCTTAACTCTTCTACCAACTATGTTGCCCCCTCACTTCTACTTCTTTGTTGCCCCATTCTTTTACATCTATTTTTGTCATACTTTTCTACTCTCTATTTTGCTACACTCTTCTACCAGCTCTGTGGCCCAACTATGTTACAAACAATTGTACCACCCTATTACATCTAATAATGTTTCCCCACTCTTTTACAACTATAATGCATCCACGCTCCTACCAACTATATTGCCACACAATTCTAAAGCTATTTCCCCCACTATTCAACCATGTATGCTGCCCCATTCTTCTATGACTACAGCTTTGTTGCTTTCGGTGTATTTCGATTTCCAAAATCAGGCCTGAACAACTCAAAATGTAAAGTGGGCCTTATGAAAAACTTTATGAAAAACTTGTGCGGGGCGTAATACTTTATGAAAAACTTGCGAGGGCCGAAAGATCATAGGACAGGGGGAAAGCTATTAAGAAAATAATAATAATAAAGAATATTTCTTTACTTCTCCGACCGCATAGTAGGTGCTGGCGGGCCGCATGCGGCCCGCATGTTAGCAGGCTGGCCTAAATAATGAGATGGCTCAGTGACAATAAAAAACACATTTCTTTTTAAACAACGTTAAAGGAAGAAATTAACCTTTTATTTTGAAATCTTTGATGGCACCTCCTCAAATCAAAATGCCACATGTTAATGCATGTTTTTAAAACCTATAATTATTGGCGTGTTCTTATGATTCACGAGTTAATTTTACATTACATTTGAAAATGTTTATTCTTTTAAAAATTATTTTACGAAATCTCGCAACATACAATGAGGAATTCATTTTATTAAATGTTGGGAGTTCCGTCTGGCATCGTTTCTGGCGAGATTTTACGTGAAAGAAGGTAACTCTGATCGATAGCGCGGCAATAAGGTAAACACAATTATTAAACCAGTAAGAGCAACATAAAGATACCAAGGCCTAATTTACCTATTACTTAAATATTATTAGAAAGCTTTAAAAGTTGGTTCTTCATAATAATTTAGTTATGAAATCCGGTTATTAAAATATTACATTGAGGTAAACAACTTACAAGTTGACTTTTTTCCAATCAATTTCATGCGGTCAAGAGTCAAGCGCAACATAGCCTGGCCCAAGTCACAATTAATTGAAATTGAATTATTTAAACTTCAATGAAACTAATTTATTAGTAATTACTTAGTAAAAGTGTGTACTTATTAACTATTTCGTTATCATTATGCTTACTATTTCTTTACAGTCCTTACATTTTCACTTTAAATTTAAAAAAAAAAAGACCATTGCCGTGCCTTACAACAAAAGAGTTGAAAGTTAATTACTTTAAGAATACAGGTCTGTATAAATAAATAATAAAGTTCGTGATCATTTGACAGGGTAAATGACAGAAATGCCAAATGCATTTTGATATTGTTTCCAAAATTATTTTTTTCTTCTAAAGTTAAAGGCCTAAGGCTAAGGTCTTAAAAGTAAAAGGAAGTTTTGAGAAAATAAGCATACTTTTTTGGTGAAAATGTGTGATAAAATGTTTTGGTGATCAGAGGCAAAGGAGAACTTCATGGCATTTTTCATAAATTCTGTCTGAAACAAAAAGAAAATTCATTATGCCAATATGAATAAATAAGAACAAAGTTATTAATGATTAATGAGCATTAGACCAAAATATAAATATAAAAGATTTTATAAATTAAAATGTATCAATGACTGAGTATCAAAATAGGGAAATAATAATACAAAAAGCGCCCCCCCCCCACCCCCAAAGTATCCACAAAAGTAAGGGCTACTATTAGTATTATTACTATTACTATTACTATTTTACCTGTTCAAAAATATTTACTTATTTACACACAATAATATATCCCTACAGTCTTAGTTCGCACTTTTAATACAAAGGTATGTGTCATATGAATTGGTGCTACTTTTAATTGTGCATTTTTATTTTGCATTACTAATTCATAGCACACTTAATAAATTATTTTTTAAATCTGGGTTGATAATTCTAAAAATCTGCGATGGCTGGCTATATAGAGTTCCTGATGGTTGTTGTTCTGTAATATCTCTCTGGAAGTAGTTTGTAATGGTTCCACTGGTGCTCACATGTATGCTTCTAATAAATTTTTCTAGCTTTATGTTGAGCAGGATACATGATAAGGAATCTCCTTGTTTGAGTTCCTGATTAATTGGGAACTCCCTCGAGTATTCTTCCTGTACTTTGGTTCTACTTTTGGAGTTAGCCATCATCATATGTATGAGCCGGAAAAGTTTTTTAAGGACTCCGAGTTCCTGTAGAGCATTGTATAGGAACTTCCTGTCTACACTATCGTATGCTGTTTTGTAATCAAAGTATAGTTGGTGTATGTTGATGTTTTATTCAAAGCATTTCTCCAGGAGACATCTAATAGTAAAAATATGATCCATGGTTGACCTATTCTGCCGGAATCTGCATTGGTAGTCCCCTACTGGCCCCTAGGATCTGTTCACATACCTTTCCAGTTTCATTACTAGTAGTTTAGTGAAGATTTTGTACATTAAATTAAGAAGTGATATTCCTCTATAGTTTGAGCAGCCCAGCTGAGATCCTATTATGTGAATTGGGATTATGAATTGGAAAACTGGCATTTCTTCCTCCTGCCAGATTCTGGATATGAGATTTTATAATTGATTTATCATTATGCAGTTCGTTTCGACCTAGCTAGTTTTATCAGTTCTGGAGAGATAAGGTCTATTCCTGGGGCTTTGTTATTTTTCAAGGCAGAGATCACATCTCTTATTTCATTCAGTGTTGGTTGGTTGACCAATAGGTCCGGTCCTCCTTGTGGTAGAGCGTAATCCTCATTTGTTCCTCCACCTGAGCCATTCAGTAAGCTTTCAGAGTGTTGTGCCCATCTTTCTAGTACGCCACTGCTCTCTGTGATCAGCTTTCCACCCATATTTTCAGACATGTGGGATCTTACTTGAAAGCCATTCTCTTCTTGCCAACTCTTATATTTCTAATATTTATTATATTTCCTAAAAACGTTTTTTCTTTCTACAAATTTTCGTAGCCACACTTCTTGTTTCATTAAATAATTGTCATGTTCTTCTTGTCTCCGTTTGCAGCATCATTAGCTGAGCCTTGTTACTTTCTTCTATAAGTTCTATGCATTCTGCATCATATCATCCTGTTCGTTTCACTGTTAGTTTATCCTATTGTTTCCTCTGTTACACTTTTAATTATTTGCATCATCTTTTCCCATTGCTCGTTTATATCAGTGTTGCTGGCTGATTCCCTTTTGAATAATTCTAGTACTAGTTGAGTTTCAATTCCTCAGTAATTTTTGGGTCCCTGCTTAATTTCTAGCTGTTGTACTGTTTTTCTCTTTTAGTTTGTTTTTTGTGGATGTTACAAATTATTTTTTTATATTTGATCAAATTTGATCCTTACAAGTATGTGGTCTGAGTCTATGTCTGCCGCAATACAGCTTTGTACATCGAATATCAGAGCTGTGCCTCTGGTCAATGAGTACTTTGATTATGGGTAAATCCATCAGGGGATATCCATGTAGCTTTATGTATTTGTGTTGGAATATTGTGCTACTGATTGTCATTCCTTTTCCTGTAGCAAATTCTATTAGACGTGTTCTGTTGTCATTGCTCTCGTCGACTTTCCTATCGGATTATTGATCTGCAAGCAGGTTCTTCCTTGATTTTCCAATTGAAATCTCCAAGGACTATTTTTACATCATGGCATGGTGCATCATCAAATACTCTTACAAGTGTTACATAGAAAGTTTCCTTAGTGCTTTCATCTGTATCCTCTGTTGGATCATGTGCGCAGACTAACGTGATTTTAAACATTTTTCCTCATATCCTTATGGAGCATAGTCTTTCACTCACTGTTTTAAACCCAATGACTGTATTTACTGTCTCTCTTTTGACTGCAAACCCTGTTCCTAAGTTGTTGGTATTGTTTTCATTGTAGAATATTGTATACACTCCTTAGTTCTTAGTATTTCCGAGTCTTTCAATCTGATCTCCTGCAGTGTCGCAACCATGATTCTATATCTTAGCAATTTGTCACTGAGGCGGGCCAATGCTCCTGCTGTTTCTAGACTCAATACATTCCAGGTCGCTATCCATATATCATGTTTTTGTTCAGGCATAGTAGTCTACAAGGCCTAATTATAAATAGTATAATTTACTCAGGTTGCATTTGTTGCATCCAGTGGATAAGTCATGAGAGGTGAATTAGCCATTATTATGCTATAATATATAAATAATTTAGGCCGAGGCCTATACCTTAAACTTTTTTTTTAGTTGCACAAAACAAGGGTGGAGCAGCAGATATCTTGGCTCCGTGAGTAGGCATTGGCATTATAGACTATTCCCAGACTTTTTTTATCAAAGAAACATCAACAAATAATAAGTAACAGGTTACTTGATCATCAACAGAACATTGATTCTGTGCACTGTGATAATATTTAATATAAATAGTGGAACATGATATGTTTAGGCTTTAAACAAAAAGGACACGACAATTAAACGCAACACAAGTTTAAGTTGAAATTCTGTTCAAAATCACACCTCTCTAGTCCAACTCCAAGTTTTCCTAGCCTAGTGGCCTTAGCCACAACCTAACCCCTAATATTTATATTTTAGGCTATAGGCCTACATGAGGTAAGGAAAAACTTAGCATATAAAATAAGACCTAATAATTACCCTTTAACTTGTACATGTTGCTAAAATTGGGCATGATTTTATTTAAAACTATGTTTAACTTAAGTTATAGCTCCTTTATTTCTTTTTAAAAAAAAATTACAAATGCAGGATACTTGTCTTTAAAAAAACTGGCTCCTTTATTGGTATAACTGGTATTGTTTCTTTCTGCAAGGAATGGACTTATCAGACTTTGACCAAACACAAGCAATAGTAGTAGACGATGAGGAAAGTGATCTCACTGATGAATTACAACCTAATGAAGTTCAAAAGCCTGTAAGTTTCCATGGTTGGAAAATTGTTTTTTAAAATTCCCATGTTCTTCTTCTGTCTGCCTCTACAAGGGAGGCATCGTGGGTAGACGGGTTGGCAATCTGCGGTGAGGCTTACTCAAGATTCATGAAGTGGACTTTAAAAGTGTCCTTCACACAGTCGATCTAACGCCGGGCATAACTGGAGTGCTTGTTATTATATGTTGATAATGCCTGATGATTGACAGGCATTATGACCAGGTGGTCAAATTAATTATTTAGCACATAATTGTATGGATACAAGCCATTACCATTTTATGGATTTTTATAATTCTGGATTTTTACGTCACTGATGTCATCAACATTTTTATAACTTGATATTGCAAAGTTGTAAATATGCTTACTATAGTATACTACAAATAAAATTATGTATAAAAAATCAAAGCTCTTTGAAATGATTTTGATTAATTGTTATGTTTATTTATGCTTTATTAAGCCAGGGACTTACAAAATATTATGAGTTTATAGTATTGTAAATAATGTTTGCCTGAAACATAAAATGTCCCAATCATCAAAGGGAAAATATTAAAATGACTGAAACAGAAGTTTCAATAAAATCTTGAACTTATTATTTCATAAAGAAACCATAGCAAGCATTGTGCTTATCATTTAACTTATATTTGACAGGCTGGCTACCTTAAAGTTCCACTTCAAAGAGGTTTAAAAGAATCTATTCATCCTGTTTATGATGGTAAATAAGAATATTTAAATATTTTCTTAAATGTATTTGAGACCTACTTGTGTGTGTTAATTTATTCTCAGTGTTAAGCCAATTGGAGATGGAATTTCATTATTTAAAAAAAAATTTTTTTTTGCTTTCTTCATCTTATTGCAAAATGCTTTAAAAATGGTTAAATTGGGACCAGATTTTTTAAAATTACGAGATTGAACTATGGGCATATTAAATGTATAAAAATACCCTTATAATGTAATTGAAATATTCACACATTCTTTTCCAGCAAATTTTATTATTGCTAGATATTTTTTAACTAAATAACTGGCATGATAGTTCTGCAGTCACCTAAATTGAGGGATTTAAGATATAAATTGGGAAAGAGTAAAATGCTGTAATGATCAGAAGCATCGACATTTTATTTTTTTCCCAGGAGACAATATCATAGGTAGAAATGCAGACTCTTGCCACATCTGTATACCATCAAAGGTAAAATAATAATTAAATCATTTTTGATAAGGGTGCAAATTATAATATATTTAATTTCATTGCTTAAATTTCTATGATTGTTGCATAGTGGATTACTATTTTTCATTTTTAAACTTCTGTTTGTTTCAGGAGGGGTAATTTATTCAAAACACCATTTGTTGTCATAAGTAGTATTTCTTCATGGATAATGAATATCAAAATATTTATAGTTGGTCTTTAAAAAGAATTTGTGTCTATTCCATTTCATTTGCTTTTTGAATGCTAATTCAATTCAAGATCTGGCAAATCATTTCTTATTATGCTCTTCAAGGAGCATAAGAATTTTAGAAAGGCTTAGGTTGGGCATGCCACAAAAAAGGTTGGGAAACACTGACTTAGACCTATCTAATGTGTTGAATTTTTTTCCTCCCCAGTCTTTGTCAAAAGAGCATGCGTGCATACAGGTTATTAATGGCAGCCATTTAATATTTGACAAAGGAAGCTTAAACAAAACTCACAGAGGAAAGGTATCATTGTCTTTTACAATATAAGCAAGTCCATTATTCTTTTATTTAGCATTCTTGGATATTTTTTATAGTGAAAAAAACAAAAAAAAGATTTTTAGGAAGTGTTTAAAAGTTTAGCTTATTTTTTTTAGTAGTATGTTAGTTAAAACAAAATAAAAATGTTGTGCAGTAGAAGTTGTTAAAATTATTTATTAACCCCTTTACATGTCAGTATGAAGCTATAAAATTCATTGATATTCTATGACTCTTTGTAACTTTGGGGCCATCCCTAAATGATATGGTTTGGGAAAGGGGGGGGGGGATGTTTGCATGAATCTGTGACAGGGTGTGTTATAAAAGTGTTGAATTATTTTGTGTCCAAATATTAATATTGTGCTGGCCGTTGGGAGGGGGAGGAGGTTGGGTGTAAAAAGTCAGCCAAAATAGCAGCATGAGTTATGGATGGTCCCTTTAGAGATGTTTCAATCAATTAAATTATTTTCTAATAGGATTCCAATTTAAAAATATAGTTTTTTAAATTTCCACAAGCCTCCACTTCATTTTATTTTTAGTTATGGACACAAAAAATGTTTATTTCCACAAATTTGATATCTTCATGCTGACCTTGTGAAATTTTTAACACCTTTATTCCATCTAATAATCAGTTTATGAAAACCTTAATGTTTTATTGGTTAAATTGAAGAAAGTTATTTATAGAACTACAATAGTTAAGTCTTACCTTACTTTTTAAAAAAGATATGTTTTATTTTACACTTCAGCTTCTCCTGAGCCCTGAGGTTCGCTATGAACTGAAAAATGATGATGAAATAACATTTGCTGATGTCAGATGTGTTTATGTTTTGCCTAAAGAGGTAAATATTGTGGAAACCTGGTTTATTCATAGTTTGGCAGATTTTTTTGTAAATCCCTTTGAAACTTTGTAAAACCTTTAATTGCCATGGTAAAATTTTGCTAAGAATACCATCAAGAGTTGGTCATTATAGTAAATTATGATTTAAATACAATTTTGACAAAATGTTTTTAACATCTTTTAGAAAAGTTAAAAAATTGTGTTTAAAAAAATAAAACACTTTTATGAAAAAGGAGAGTAACACTTAGATTCTATAAGTTTGAATATGCCTTTAATTCAGAGTTTGACTAAAATCTTTAAAATGATAATGTATAAACATAAAAATTAAGTCTAGTTTTCAATATTTTTTTTTGAATAGTCACTTGAACCAATTTAGCACTTCATCATTGCCTACCATTAAAGTAAGGAATTAAAAACACTTTTAACTTCTGCTTAAACAATAGTGGAAAAAGAAAATCTCTTTAAAGGGTATTTTAAAAAATTAATGTAGGTTTCTGACACAGTGGCAGACTCAGGCTCAGAAACAGAGGATTCTGACAATTTGCTACTACGGCATGAAGTCACACTTGAGGATTCAGGTGGAGTAAGTGAACTGAAAGAGAAAACAGATATGAGTAATGGAAATGATGAAGACAGCAATGAAGATAGTGTGCTACCACCTACCCAGGTTAGATTTTGCTTATATTAATTAATTTTTTAAAATAATTTCAGGTGTCACACTTTCAGATTTAAATAACTGAGCATAATTTTATTTTGTTTTGTGCTTGCAACTGGTCTTGACACAAAATCTCTGAACATTGTTACAAAAAAAAAAAAAAAAATCTTTTGCCCCTTTTGAGAACCACTGTTGTAGACAATTAAGCTTTTTATTATAATGTATTAAATTTATATTAATCAATGGTATATTATCTGATAAAATTGTTACCAATATTCTTCATCTAGGTCTTTGCAGAGAGGTCAGAAAGAAAAAGTATTTCAGGTATTTTTAAATTATTTTTTTAAATAAATTTTTTGTTAAAATAAACAATTATTGTTAAATTGAGCTCTTAGTTTTCATACAAGTGATCCTGTGACCTGACCTTTTTATGACCTTGTTTAGCATTTTCAGAAACTTCATTAAAATCTGAAGTGATATTAGTGATTGGTTGGGTATCTTAAAAATGGAATGAAAAAGTTAAGGCAATCTTAAATCCCAATGATGTACAAACATTTTAATTATTTTTTATGGAACTGATGTCCTGAAAACCCTTAAATAGAAATAAATAGAAATATGATATTACTAAAAGGTTAATATTATACAGCAATTGGTCATCTGTAAACCTAATTATTAAAAAGAATAATTTTTAAGTGTTTTGTTTTTAAAAAGCGTTACAATAATGAATACTAAAAAAAATAACTACATTTGCATCATCTCTTATGTTTTCACAGCTATGCTAGCTAAAGATACCCCAAAAGTTTTTGCCGGTAAAAATGGTGATATGGAGGAAGGTGAGTTGTTTCGTGTGGTTAGACAAAAATCATTATGTCATTTATTTAGGACATAATTACAATTTCGGGGGAGTGGGTGGCTGTGTGATCAAGCGTGTCGACAACAAGACACAACAAGCAACTGTAGTAGGCTGGTGTTCAAAACCACAGAAGTACCAAGAAAACCAATAAAAACACAGATATAGTCCCTTGGGTAGATAAGGCATCAACCACCTTGGACGGTGGCTCATCAAGGAGAAGGAAAAACCCTGACCACAAAAACCCATTGCCTTGGAATTAAAATCCCAAAGTTTTTTCTTAATCAGCGGTTTTCTCCCTTGGCCTTTTAGTTTTTTTTTTTGGTTTTTTTTTTAGCTGCTCACAAGGCAATACTTTCTCTTGCTTTCGTTAGTCAATGTGTGCGAAGCTAGGGGGTTTCTTTTCAGGCCCTGCTGAATTTTTTGTCTGGTGTCTGGTTTTACCACCACTCTCACTACACAAATAAACGGTTTGATTTACTAAATGCTGATCAACTACCACAAAATATTCAACATTAAATGTTTCCATTGTTTGACTACTCAGCAGCCCCAATGCAAACCATGGTGTTTTCAGAGTCTGAAAGTGAAGAGGATCTGGTCATAAAAAAACCTTCAGGTGTTGTGGAGGAAACATTTTACTGTGAAGACAGTGGTGAGTTATTTGATAGACCTCCTTTCTTTCAAATTGATCATGTATGCTTCTTTCTGTTTATGTCATGGGAATTCATTTGGTTGAATCTCATACTAGAGAGTTTTTTTTTTGAGCTGGTCCTTATCTATCTTTTGACACATTAAGCTATAATATTTTCATGGTGACCCAAGCTTCATTTTAATACTACTATTCAAATCACCATTTCCTGTATCATTATTTACTGTACCACAGATCCGGAGTCCAGCAAAGACCAAGAAGTCTTAGGGGTTGCCACTCAGGCGTATTTCAAGGCTGAGTGTTCTGATGACACAGATGGTTAGTTGAAATGATCTCCAATTATGTGAACATCAGATGAGCACTCAATATGAGTACTTAAAATATTTCCTCATAGAAATCAGTTTATCACAACATGAAATAGCCAAGCTTTCAGTTGGATTTATTAATTTATATTATTTAATAAATAAGGTCAGGACATTAAATACTTTTTGTATAAGTGCTGGTATTCAAAGTGCTGGAAGAGGTCTGTGGGCCAAAGACAGATTACTGTCAATGAACTTGACATTTATATACAACTATAAATTAAAGGGCTTTAAGTCTATAGTCTTTAAAATTCTTGGATTTAATATAATTTTATTGTGGTAACTCTGTATGAAATGTGCATTTGAGATGTCACATTGTGTCTGATGATATATATATATATATATTTTTTTTTTTGCAATAAATTCTAAAAAAAATAGCCATTTTATTTTAAATTACTTGAAGTAAATTTTAAGCTGTTGACCAATGACACTTTGTCATATTGCAGAGGAAGTCCTAAAGTCTGACTTAGTTGGTGCAGACAAACATGCATATGCTACTGGAGCAAACATTGATGGGGATGAGAAAGAGGCGGACCAAGATGGTGCCATCAAGTGTGCATCCACAGTGGTAAGATATTGGGGCACTAGAATATATAACCCGATGTTACCGGGATAATAATGGTAGGCATTTAGTGTTACTTTCTACCTGCTTTTTGCAAAGTCTCAACAACTAGAAATCCACTTGTATACTTATGTAACTGGAGCAGGTTTGGATGTTGTGTGCTCATCAAAAACAACCAAAAAAAAAACTTCACCAAATGTTCAGTTGTTTCCTCTTGCTGTCCTCTTGGATACTATATTGCAGCTAAATGTTTATTTTCATTTTATATTGTGTTTACTGTTGTTTGTCCACTGATTAATAAGACACAAACAAATTGTGTCACTAGAACACTACAAGGTACGCTTTAATAATAATTATACATTATACACAAGTAAACGTTTCGGCACATGCCTTCATCAGTACAAACAAACAAAAGACATTTAAATAAGTATAAATTAAATTTACATAATATCAATATACATATCCTACTTAAAACAAAAAAATATAGGAGAGGGCGCTAAAACCAGACAAAAACAAAATTAAGAGGCGTAGAAAGGAAGTGAAGAAGGTGTCTTGTCTACACATTCATTGTTTATTTTTGTCCTTTTTTTCAACTTTGCCTATAATTTGTTTCGCTCATTTCCAAAATAAAAATATTAAAAAAAAAAAAAAGTATTTCCATATCCTTGAAATTTATCTTCAGGATTCCTTATTTTTAAAAGAACTATCTATGTAATTATGTTTATGTTTCTAATGTCATTTAGTTTTTAGAAATATTCATCTTCTCTATAATATTGGCCCACCCTATCCCTTGTCGCGTCTCTGAACTACATTTTTTTTCTCTCTAAAAATTGTAAAAACATGACATTAAATTTACAAAAAAAATCTCTATACCATTTAAAATATTTTTTACATTAAGGGCATTGGAAATATTGTTATTTCACCAAACTTTTGCCTTGCTTCTCTACTATATTTTCAGAAAATTGTTAAATACAGAAGTGTTACATCTAAAGAAGAATCTCTTAACCGATTTTCACATCTGTTACAAACATAGCATTTAAAAAAAAAAATAATAATATTAATCTCTTAAATATGTACACCCACTTTTCCATGATACTTTTTGCAAAGTGGATACAAAAATAGATTTTTTTGTATTTTGAAAGAAAATTTCAATTATCTTTGTTTATGCCCATGAACTGTAAAGGAAAAAAAAATATGGCTCTATTTTTTAGATTAAATTTACATGTGTGTAAACTGATTGAGCTTTGGGATGTTTTTTGAGGTATGGGTATACTTATGTAAATGTACCCATAGTATTGTCAAGGCACTTGGACTGTATTTGCTTAATTGGTACAGCATGTTTTATATATGTGTTCACTGAAGAAGTTAATTATTTATCAAATTCACTCTGTCATTGTTAGGCATATCTTGTGCTGCCTGGGGCAAAATGAAAGTATCAAATCCCCCCTCCCCCCCACAGTTTAAAAAAAAAAACATTAATAAATCATACATGGGATGATAGCCCCCTACGTACGCAACCACTAATTTTTTTGCACGCTCCTGAACTTTCCTAAAATCAATAAAAAGTGTGATGAATGTAATTTTCTTTTTAATAATGATATTCATGATTTTAGTGAGACAAAAAGAACATATTATAGTGCTTCATTTTTTTTTTAAAATATTTTTTTTGACTGGTGACAAAAGTTCACTTGTGCTGCACCTTCTGGGGAATACTGTTAATTGTTTGTCCTTAATGTGGCTTTTATCCTTTGTGTGACAAATGAAGATTTAATAGTTTACTGAGTTGTCATGTTTGTTTGTGTACAGCTGAATGATGCATTGGAGGACAAAGAAGAGCCAGAATCTCTTGATAGAGGCTCTAATCAACCCTCAAGAACTCATAATGGAGGCTCCAAGGGGAATAAAAAAGGTACAGTTTATTTTAAACTCGATAACAGCTCTTGGAAAAAAATGATGAAGTAAATGCCTGATGCAGGTAACCAATAAAAAATAATTATAGTAATCTGTACTCAAAATTCATTTTTAATATCCCAATTTTAAAGACAATAAGTGTAAAAATCATATGGCTCCATTTCAGAAACACAGACATTCAATGAGGCAAAGAGCATGACAAAGTCAAAGGTTTCTGAATTGACAGCCACTCAAATCTTTGAGGAAGATGAAGACAGTGATTCAGCAGAAAATTACAAGCTTTTTGCCATGTCCACCCTAGCTTGTGATTCTGCTGGAGCAGCCGATTCAGAAAGCGAAGGAGAAAAAGCTAAAGGATATGCCGGGGAGAATGAACCCCCACAAGTGTTTGACGTCTGTCCACCAACAATGAAAATAGCTGAAGATCCAGATGAAAATGGAAACCACGAGACGACCTCTGGTCCATCATCAAAGAAAAAGAAAGGGCGGCCGCCTCGCACAGTTAAAAGTAATTCAACAGGATCTCTGTCACCTGAGTTACCCACACAGGTGTTGGTGGGAGTCACACAAGAGAAGAGCGCAAACATTGATGCAGATCGTGATAAGACTTTTGATGTCAGGGATGAGCTAACGGGGAACTTGGATGATACTGGCAAAGACACTGTGAAACCTGATGAGATCAGTGAAGGCAAGAAAGGGGGAGAAAAAGGAGACGTAATCCTGGATCGTCCAACCCTGGTTTTGGGTGAGACCGTACCCATTAGCAGTGACTCAGAGAATGAATCAGAAGCTGGAAGGAGAAGAGTTGGGAAGGTCCAGAAGTCTAATAAATTACCTGCACCTTTTTCTAGTCCTGTAAAAGTTATCGGCAACAGATTATCCACAAGAAAAGGGCGTAGCAGAGCTTGCAAAACTACAGCAGAAGACTCAGCTTTAAGCAGTTCAGACGGTGTTTCTTGTGGAGAAGATAATGTGTCATTTGAGAAGTCACTACTTGAAAACAAGCAAAAATCTGGGGAGAGTGAGGCTGAACTGGATGCTCCGAGTCAGGATCTTGATAAACCGGCCAAGGAAATATTTTCACCCAACACTAAAACAGTGAAGAAAAGAGGTTTACTCTTGGGGAAACAGTCCAGAACTGGAACAGTTGATCAGGATGAACCCAGTTTGCCTTCAGGGCCATCTGATGAGCCGACTCAAGCGTATGGTATTATGGAAGCAGGGAGCACCCAGGTATATGAAATGGATACTGAAGTTGGTGAGGAAACTTCTAAGGTCGATGAGCCCACTCAGGCATTTGTGGATGAATGTGTTCAAAAAACTTCTTTCAAATCCAATGGAAAGGATAATGTCATGGATACCAAAGTGATGGAAGCGGTAGAAACACAAGAGTATGAAATGGACAGTGATGGCGATGAGGATGTATCTAGAGTTGGAGAACCAACCCAGGCTTATGTGGATGATAATGTACAAAAATGTTCCCCTATAAAGGATAATGCAGCGTGCTCCAAAAGCAAGGAGATGTTAGAAACACAAGAGTATGAAATGGACAGTGATGGCTATGAGGACGTAACAACAGCCGATGAACCCACCCAGGCCTATGATGTTGATGCCACTCAAGCGTTTGATGACGAGGGGGCATGCGGTAGCTCAAAGGTTGAAGACCCCACCCAGAAGTATGACATCGGGGTAGAAGGAGATGACGAGACCCTATCAAAAGAGGACAGTGAAAATCACAAGAGGTTAATATGATTGTACTGTTTATTTTTTGTTGCACTTGTTACTGAAGGAGCATGTGTTACTGAATGAAACAAGATGCTGAATGAAGTAAAAACAACAGCTAAAACTGTGACCGGCTCGCACGTATAGTTAAAAAAAAAAACGGGTACGAATGAAAACGGTTGTTGAATAAATTTTGTTTCAGGACACAAAGGGCGCAGGTAATATTTTTTTTAAAACTTATTTTACTGGCAGAGGTGAATATTCAACGGAGGTTCCGGACGAGTCTTTTGATGATTCAGATTTAGAGGACCAGCCACTGCTGAGAGTCAATGAAAACAATTTGATAAGTGACACTCAACAGGTACCTACTATGACAGCATTTTGTTTTTTTCCAATAATTATTAAGAAAAAGTTGAGATTTTTTAATGCCAGGCGTATAAGTTAATTTAATTTTTAAAATTAGATCTAAAGTATAATGTCTCTTACAATGTTAAGTTTATCAAATATTAAAATTATAATTGTTACATATGCCTGTTACTTGTTACATATGCCTGTTACTTGTTACATATGCCTGTTACAATAGATACAGTTGTATGATAAGACTAAAATTAAAATTGTATGCTGTGTTTAGCTTGCCGAAGAAGGAGATTCAGGAGAGGTGAATGTAAACAAGTCCAAACCAGTGGAGCCAACTTTAGCCCATGGTTCGAGTGGGAAAGAACAAGTGTCCCCACCGAGGATCAGAAACAATGAGGACAACGGTGCTGTTTCAGGTAGCTTATTGATAGATTTAGTATGTCATATTTTGACTAGATTACCGCAAAGAGAAGGTAAAAGTGTTATTGTCATTTAGTGATCAAGTTTGTTCTGGCAGGCTCACCTTTTAAAGTAATATAAAAACAGCATTTGTTCAATTTTCCAACAGATGAAGATTCCAAGGCTGAGCCCACATCTGACACAGAAGAGGTAATGATCCGTTTTCATTTATTTCATTTTACTGCTAATTACAGGCTGGCAGAATGTCAGTTTCTGCGCCGAAATTTTCCATTTTATCATTTTATGCTTAGTTTTGATTTTGGCCAAAGCAAAAGTTAATTTATGGTTTCGGCCGAAAGTGATTGAGACTTTTGGCCTTCTGGCCGAAGTGATTGAGACTTTTGGCCTTCTGGCCGAAAGTGAGTGAGGCTTTAGGTCATTACCAGAAGTTAGACTATCACCTTGGCTGTCTGCTGGCAATCATGTCTTGCTGTCCTTGTATGATTTATGACTAATCCTCTGCAAACACTGCTCACAGCTGTATGATGACCTACTTGTCCAATATTTCCAAACATAAACTTTTAAATAGGTTTAGGCAAAGGTAAATAGTTTTGTGGAGAAAAAAAATAAGGGAATTTTAATTTTTATATTATTATTTATGTTTTAATTTGTTCAAAAATAAATTATAATGTAACCTTAGGCTCATTCAATTCATTCATTTGTGAAATTCATTTAGATTTATCATGATCATGCTCATCAATGTGCAAAGGTGAATAGTAGTGTAACAAAAGCTAGCGGATGGTAACAATTCCAATATTATTTTTGTTTTAAATTTGCTTGTGACGCAGTTTTGTGACATAATTAGGCCTATTTCATTTGTCTGAACCGCAGCAATTGTGAAAACGGAGAAAACTAGGGATGTTGAATTTTAATTTTTTTAATAAAATGCATTTTAAACTGTTATGCACAGGAATTTACTCATTTTAGTCTTAGTTAGCAAGGACAGCTTGCTTAGGCCCATACTTAGAAGACCTACTTTCTATTAACAAATGTTATAACAATGTAAGTTATATTTAAAAAAATAGGTCTATAATATTAGGTTCTTCACTAAGTGGCCAGTGCCGATAGATTTTTCGGATGCGAGAAACAGACCATAAACCCGTGACTGATCGACCGGTCACAGGATCATATGGAGATCTAGTTTCTTTTGTCTACGTAAGGAAGTGACAATGAACTTGTTAGTCTGTTTTGTGGACACAAGGAGGACGATCATTACAACATAAACTTAGGGATTCTTTCACTCCTGTATTTTGAGAAATAAATAATTATTTTTAATTATGCAAAACTTGTTTATTTGTTGTTTGCTATTTCTTCTTGCGGAGTTCAAAAGCCGGTGATTGGTCAGTGGATCAAGATAACCACCAACGTAAAGTGGCAAATTTGGCCGCCTTTTGTGCTTGAGATATCAGAGTTCGGCGAAATAAAAGAATTGACGTAACCGATGAGAAAATGCTAAGAAAAAGAGAGATAAGTGGGTTCAACTGTATATTGATGTCCCCTTGTCCAATCAGCTCTGGCATTCAAAATCGGCTTACATTGACGGATGTGCACATTGCATGGATTTATATGATTTGAATGTTACCATCGGGTATGGAATCAGCGCTCCACTTACAAGACTACATATTTTTTTTTACATGCATTCTCAACTGCTCGGTACAGCAGCGTTTGATTTTGACATATGCGATAAAATCTAGTAAGCGGCATTTGAAATCTATTTTTAGAAGTCACTAAGCAGCTGTACAATTTTAATACCCCAACCATCACTTCTCCTCCTTTCTCCCAATACAGCTTGCTGTAGTTTGAGACCACAATATGTTAATGGCAAATAAAACCAGGCTCCAAGGCTTAATGCTGGGGTGGGCAACCCGTGACCTGCCATGTTAAATGTTGTGGGATGTATCACCAATGAACTTCTTTCTTCATTCAAATGGCGATTGTTTAAATTTTTTGCATAAAAGCACATTTTTAAAATAAATATACACGTCATTTTTTTGTGTAAGCTAGGCGCCATTTTGGTGTATCCGCCCCCATTTTGGACGGATATAAAAAAAATAGGAAGATATAAGTAATAATTGACAGAACAATTTTTCTATTAGTTAGCTATTTAAGTATTTGACATGGGAGATCATGTTCAGCTGATGGGTGTTATTTACATTTTTAACATATTTCTAATAAATTGTCCCATAGCCATGGAACTGGACTCAGGATTTTCTCTACTGCAGTCAAATAAAATTTTTTTTTTTTTTTTTCAAACTCGCAATGCAGCTGGCAGCTGATAGTCATCCCACAAAAATAGATACATCTCCTCTGAAGGATACATCTCCTCTGAAGGATACATCTTCGCCGAAGGATACATCTCCACTGAAGGATACACCTCCACCGAAGGATACATCTTCACTGAAGGATGTGCTTCCCGCTCAGTCTCCACTGAAATCAGCTTTAGTTTCAGACAAGAAGCTCTCACCCGTGAGCAGGAAGAGGTCGTCGGCACCAAAACACGTCGCTTTTGCTAATGTAAGTCCACAGCGCTATTGGAACATAACAAAGGTGTTTATGGGGAGAATGAAATTCTTATGACAGCGCTATTGGAACATAACAAAGGTGTTTATGGGGAGAATGAAATTCTCATGAATGATTAAACCTTTGATGGATTAATTTTTTTTTTCTTCTTCTTACCATCTCATTATAGATGTTTTTATATTTTTTTTAATTGATGGCTACGACCAGAGGTCTTGTTGTTGACACCTCCATGCACGTCTTTCTCTACATATTTGTCTGCTGAATTTCAGTGATTTTAACGTAGTTCCCTTAGTCTGATATGATAGACCTGCACTGGCCCTTGTCTTTTGGAAACCATGCAAAGCTTTTCTGTAATTCAATTGCAATGGCACGGTTCCATACTCATAAAGTTGACATAATTTGCTGCGATTGATAAATAAATCCCTATATTCAGGTGGAAGAACCTTCTGATAATACTACTAATGATGATGATGATGACACTAAAGTTGAGGAGGAGTCACCAACACGGAGGGGTAAACTTATTTGTTTTCTATTTGTTGCTGGAAAATGCGTTATTGATATAAGCAATGAAAGTGTAGAGATTATAAACAAAAAAGAGAGAACAAATTGCTGAAATGATTTCTACAAAAATGTTCTTAATTTTGAAAATAGTAATTGTAATTTGTCTTTAGAACTATAAGTCTAATTCGGGGCTGTTGATCTTATGTTACAAGTCTAAGTCAGGACTGTTGATCTTATGTTACAAGTCTTAGTCAGGACTGTTGATCTTATGTTACAAGTGTAAGTCAGGACTGTTGATCTTATTTTACAAGTCTTAGTCAGGACTGTTGATCTTATGTACTTACAACTTTTATGGAGACCAATGTTATTTATTATTGTCGTTATCCTTGAATCCCCCAAGCTCGTTTCAAGCTGAGCAAAAAAGGCAAAAAAAATATTTGTCAAGTCAAGCAAATGGAAACAAAACCTGTCCAAGCTCTGGAAAATCCTGACAGTGAAAGTAATGAAAGTATTAAACCCAGAACAACTTCAGCTTCTCCAACCAGACAAAGCCCAAGAAAACTAACCATGGAAGAATCTTGTCAAGAGGAGAACAATGAAAAATCAACAATGAAAACAAGAGGGAAAAGAGGAAAAACTAAAGGAAAGGAGGTTACTGTGGAAGAAAACGTAAATAATGAATACAGTTCACTGGCACCAAAGGAGGATCTTGAGCCAGTTGTTAAAAAGGGTAAAAAAGTTGTGTCCAAGGCCGCCCTTGGAGGGGATGTCATGACTGATGTTAGATCCTCTAGAAGAAGTCAGGGTAAGCCTCCACAAAGGAGCAGTCCAGTGGAGGCGACTGAGCATGTAAATGAGAAGTCAAAGAAACTGGAGGCGTTCACAGCAGTGAAATCCATGGATGGGGATGAATCGGAAGCAAGTGCATTCACAGAACCAACGTCTGACGAGCAGAGTGATGTTGAGTCACTTGCAGCCGAAAAAGTTGTGGAGCCCAAGAGAAAAAAGCCCCAGAGCGAGAAAAGGACAGTTCAGAAAGAAAATGCTGTAGAGAAAGTGACGGAAATGGTGACGATGTCTTCGGCAGGTCCTAGAACTTCTACAAGGGGCAGAAGGGTGAGCTTCCAACCAGCTTTTCTAAAAGATTTTGAAACAGATAAAAAGAATTCAAATCGTGGGAAAGCCTCGGCAGCCAACAAAAACTCACCAGAGGCTGGAGACACGGTGAAGGCTGATGATGTAACCTCGAGCACGGACGATGAGAGCGTCAGGGGCAAAAGGAGAACGGTCAAGGCAGCAACACCAGCAGCCGTTGAACCAATGGATGGCAATGAGCCACTGCAAACAAAGACAGGCAGGGGAAGGACAAAGAGGGGACAACCCAAACCAACGGAGAGCAGCGCTGTAGCAAACAATGATGCAGATGCAACCGGAGAGTGCGAGCTTGATGAAACAGAAATGAGATTAAGAGAGCAAGAGAAAACTGTGATGGAATCAAAAGTCAATGAGCCGAAAACAACTGGGACTAAAGTTAAGTCAGCCAGGAAGAGAGTAAAAAACAGCGGCAGAGACGTCTCTGGTGTAGTCAGCAGCGTCCAGAATGAGGAGAGACAAGACTCTGAAAAATCAAAAGATCAAATGCCAGAGGATTGCCCTGAAAGTGATGACGGCGCCCATAAAGCTGAAAACTCAGTTGCGGTTAAGCGAGCGCGTCGAGGCCAATCATCTGTCACCACAGCTCCTCTGGCTACGGATCAAGAAGCAGATTTTGAAGTTTCAGATGTTAAGCCGAGAAGAAAATCTGTCCCTGCGCAGAAGAGTCAAACCAGGTCATCACAAGAGGCAAATTCTAAGGCCAGTGCTGCAGATATTCAGAACTCCTCAGCAGAGTTCGTGCATCAGCAGGTTACGGCAAAGGTGAGCGCTGGTCGCGGGAGGGCTAGGAAGTCCGAAATGACAAAAAGTGATTCCAAAATTGATATCGGCGCTTCTGCTATTGAAATAAATACAGTGAAGTCAGTCTCTGACGATAAACCTCCGATGACTCCTAATTCTAAGAGGAGAGCAAGTGGCAAGGTAGAGGTAAGAAGTGAATTAATTAATTTTATCATGAAAATTTGGCCTTGGCTTCACACTGACAGGAGCCTCAGATTTACCCTGGAACATATCTAAGAAAATATCAACTATAGATTGTAAATTTCAAAGAAAAATGACATGATTTTAGAGCAATTAAAATTAAATTTTAAAAGTTTTTAATGATAATTTGGCATTTAAAAGAAAATCGGTGAGAAGTCTAAAACAATTGTCAGTCAGGTCCTCTTGAACTCTATAAGCATTGGACTGTCATAAAAGTCAGACATCTAATGACCCCAAAAATTTTTGTTACCCAACCTCCTTACATCTTAACTGCTTTAATTTCATAATTCACTGTTTAGACCACTCTACCACTTAGCACCATCACCCACATCTGTCTCACTTGTGGCACATTTTATGTTTGATAGAGAGTCCATTCATTAGCAAAGCATTTTAATTCAAATTTTTATTTTAAAAAGGAACTGCAGACCAAACTCTGAATGCTGACTTGTGCACATTTTTAAGTCATGAGATGTTGTTGAACAACACAACCATTTGTACTTTAAGGTTTATTTTATACAACATTGACATGCCTTGTGTTCAATGCAGTTGAAATATTCGGGACATCATGGGGGCGTCTGTGTTAGTTTTATTCATGTACTTATATCTTGTTTCCTGGTAAATTTGTTTTTATATGAAAATCTAATATATTTTTTTTGCCGTAAAATACTACTTTTGGACTTAATCACGCACGACCTGCTTTTAAATTCATTTGTGCCCATGTTCAGGTGGCTGAGACCCCCTCTAAAAAATCATCAATCGCGTCAACCCCTACACATCAAAAGAAGGAAGGAGACACAGAGCATCTGGGGACTCCTACTTTAAGGAAATCCACCATGGAGAAGAAACCCAAGGTTATGTTCACAGGAGTCATTGATGAACAAGGTGAAAAGGTATGGACATGGAATATAACATTTAGAGTCTTATTATACTAGAATTTTTTTTTCATTCTTGATGAATTATTAATTTAATTTGTAGTGTGGAACTACTGGAGTTCAGCCATTCTATTTTTGGTTTAAAAAAAACAACATACATCATATAATCGTTTAATTATCTTGTAAGAGTATTTCTGGTCTAAGAGTTATAAATGTTTATTTATAGATATTTATTTATATATATATATATATATATATTTTAAAGAGGTAAAAGTTTCTTTCATAATTGATTAACTGTCATAATATTTTTGAGCGAGACACTTGCATGGGCAGCTGCCGTTGCCATGTCAAAGTCTTTTATGGAAAGAAATTTTGAAAGGGATTTTTACCTATTTTAGAAAGCACAATAAAAAGCTGTGTTTGAGTAACAGGGTAACGTTGCCTGAACAATAGTATGATTTTTATTCACAGATTGTGAGAGAGCTTGGTGGTGAGATTGCATCCAGTATCCAAGAATGCACACATTTGGTCACAGACAAGGTAGATAATCTCTAAACTATCGGCAATGTTGATTGAAGTGTAATTATATCCTAAATACAAATAAACCATTTTGGTTATTTTTATTTCCTTTATTCATTATTTCTGTTATTTTACTAAGGTAAATTCCCAGGTTGGTAAAGTCCTCATTTTTAATATCATTGCAACAAATTTCCATTCTTCTTCTTCTTCTATATCTTAAGGGCCCACGATCAATTTATTGATCATTTTGGCTCCTAAGCATGGAGATGGGATTTGCAATGTTTCTGTTACTGGTGTTGATGAGGAAATCATGCACTAGGGGTTTGAAGGCTTGAGGCAATAGACACAAATGTGTTTAGTGTTGTCGCCTCAACCGTTCCTTTTGAAAGATTGTTCCAGTCCCTGATTGTCTTGGGCAGGAATGAGCAGCTCCTATACTGGCTTCTTGCTGGTATGAGCCTGAATTGCCTGTCATGGCCTCGTCGCTGTCTATCTGAGATTAAGTATTTTTGTTTTTAGCCTGTCCCAATGATCTTCAGCCAAGTTATTCCTATGAGGAGATGTTTTGGAGAGCTCTAGCTGCCATACCAGAGTGCCGCTGTAGTTTTTTTAATAGCATCAATAACTCAACTATTTAAAAAAAATATTCAATGTATTATTATATTTCTATGCTCAGATACGGCGTACTGTAAAATTTCTCAGTGGACTGTCCAAAGGACTGCCCATTGTGTCACCTCAATGGCTTGACAACAGCAAACAAGCTGGAACTTTTCTAGGTGAGGCGTTGAAATTGTGCTCAGAAATTTTGTTTTCTAGTTTCACAGTTCATTCAAATAACTGAGGGTTTGTAAAAATAGATAAAATTAGAAATTTCCAAATCAATTTTAGTTTGTTAATATTTAACTGTGAAACTTTGCACCATCAATTTTTGTGGATGACGTTTGTAGCTTTACAATTATTGAAGCTTACATTGACGTACATTAGAAATTCTGGTACTAATATTGTAGGAATGAAAACTTTTAGCTCTTAAAATTGAGTGACTAATCTCATACCAACGTTTCTGTCTTTTTGAATAGATGGCCACAAATACCTTGTGTCGGACCAGGCCATGGAGAAGCAGTACAAGTTTGTGCTGTCCACCTCCATATCAAAGGCCGCCAACAACCCAGTGTTTCAAGGCCTCAAAGTTCATGTTTCCAAATCTGTCCACCCGGACCCTGCCCAGATGCAGGAGATCTTACAATGCGCTGGCGCAAAGTACTTGAAAACAATGCCGAAAAAGATATCTGAGAATACTGTGGTGGTGTCTTGCGCCGACGATGAGGAGCTGTTTCAGCCGGCCATCAAAGCTGGGATACCTGTGGTTGAGGCGGAGTTTGTTTTGACGGGAATCTTACGTCAGGAAGTGGATCTCAAATCGTATCCTTTTCTTACTTTTTCATCCCTTTCCATGTGTAGGTTGTTATTAACCACGGTGGTTCTACTTGTGTTCAGTAGTCTAAGTGGGGGCGGAGTTTTGAATTGTAAAACATTATGTCACAAAAGATTCACCAGCTTTAAGTCATGGGAAAGTTGATTGTTGCTACATGATCAACTTGTTGCTACATGATCAGCTTGTTGCTACATGATCAGCTTGTTGCTGCATGATCAGATTGTTGCTACTTGATCAGCTGGTTGCTACATGATCAGCTGGTTGCTACATGATCAGATTGTTGCTACATGATCAGCTGGTTGCTACATGATCAGCTGGTTGCTACATGATCAGCTGGTTGCTACATGATCAGCTGGTTGCTACATGATCAGCTGGTTGCTACATGATCAGCTTGTTGCTACATGATCAGCTGGTTGCTACATGATCAGATTGTTGCTACATGATCAGATTGTTGCTACATGATCAGCTGGTTGCTACATGATCAGCTGGTTGCTAAATAATCAGCTGGTTGCTACGTGATCAGCTGTTTGCTACATGATCAGCTTGTTGCTTCGTGATCAGCTGGTTGCTACGTGATCAGCTTGTTGCTGCATTATCACTTGACACTTCACTGGGTTTGAATAAGAAACAAAAAGGCAGTTGATATCCATTTGAGGGGGTGTACAGTACATCTACTTGACCTCCAAAACCCTGCTCACCCCATGCTCAATAAACTTCATGGCTCACAAGAATGAAACCATTTAGAATTCCTTCAGGAATTGACATGTGCTTTTCCTCTGTCTTTCATTCTATATCTTAATCTTTGCCTCCCTCCTGCCTCTTTTTTTTTTTTTTTTTAAATTAAAAAAAGAGAATAATTTATGTTTTTCTAAAAGGTTTGTGGATTGTTTTTTAAGGGAAATTTTAGTAATTTTGGATTTTTATTATAAACAATTTCATCCTTGATTTTAAGCAGATACTCCATCTTAACTGCAGGAAACACTCAGTCTACAGACAAAAGAAGGTCAAAGAAAAAGTAACATTTGAACATTTGTTCACAATAGAATGGTCATTTTACAGATGTCTTTCAAAAACATTTATCTCCTGGCAACTAATGCAATTTCATGTAAATTATGGATTGGAAGGAGGCATCGGGACGGTGTGCAGTAAAAAGGATTTTAAGGAGGCATTGTGAAGGTGTCCAGTTAAAGGATTTGTATCTCCTTGAAATGAAACAATCACTTGGATTCTTGGATACTTAATGTCACATGGCATTCCATGGACCACACACCTTGACTTGGCCAGACAACAACAACAGCTGAAGAGATCTCTTGCATATGTACTATGTTGTTCTTTATGCATTTGTTCAAAAGTTGTTTTTTTTCGGTTTAAATTGTTATCCATGTAGTGTTTAATTTCTAAAGATGGCTATGGCAAAAAAAAAAGGTCACAAACTCATGGGTCACTCTAGTAGCAGGCATGATGGATTGTCAAGTGCGGTTATCATGAATTTAAGTATTGTATGTACTCATTCATAAGCCAGCTCTTTGTGGAAATATTTTAAGTGTTTAAGTGGCGTGGTCGACATAGGTGCCGGAGATTTTAACAACAAATTTTGGGGTACGTTGATTCTATCATTGAAGAAAGTGAACCAAAAAAAAAAGTCAATAAGTGAAGTCAAAATAAACCCAAAGTTTTTCCTCATTCTGCGGCTAACGTGATTTTGCTTTTTGTTCCGGTAGCGTTGGCTTTGTTCCGGTAGCGTTGGCTTTGGTCTGGTCACTGGTAGCGTCTGCGCTGTAAACAAGTGTTATTGATAAAACTGTATGTTTGTTTATTACTTTTATTACAATAATTACTTTTCAAAGTTTGTGTTTTAAAAATGATAATTTATTTTCTTTAGCACTGTAATGCTTCTACTGGCATTTTATTTTATGTGATCTACTTACGAGTTGTTTACTCACTTTTCAGGCTAAGATAAGATTCTTGTATCGATCCAAATAAATGGAATTTTTTAAAATTAAATTGTTCAAATTCATATTCAGCACATAAATAAATGCATATCTTAATCAGCTCTACATTTTAATTTTACAATTAGAACAAAGAAACAATTAGAAACATCTAAAGTATTTCTCTAGCGTTAAAAGCAGCCATCATATACCCCAAGAAAGGGGAGGGGGGGAGAAATCAGCTTATGAATGGGTAGAGGCAATAATAAATCAACGTAAATTTGTTTGATGTGTTTGTTTAATGTTAAAACGCTACTGTTGTCTAATATTTATTATGGTAATAAATTTCGGGGTCTCTGATGTAATGAATTGCCAAATAATTTTGTGTGGAAAACAGATAACTTTGAATCAGTTTACATACGGGTGTAATTTCAGTGTATGGCAAAAGATTTATATTCATCTGTGTTTAACCTTAAACCGTGCAGGACAGTGATTTCAATTCTCTTTCATTTTACAGCCTTTAAATACATTTAAACAACTCAGTTCTTACATTCAAAACATGGCACCAACCATCATTGCATTAGTTTCTCATAACAGAAATTAAAAACTCTATAGGGAATGTTTGATTATTACTGTATTTTTTGTCAACTCAAGGGCTGCTGTGAATTAGATTAAGGGGAAGGTTTGTGTTATTACCTGATGTATTCTTTTGTAGGGTCCTGATATTACATAACATAGTGACATAACCACGTTGACACATTGTACACATGTTCTAAACTACTTTCCTTGTTGAATCAGTCGTAATCTTGTTAATAGCAAAAATTACATTGTATACATTTATATCCCTTTAAATTAATTTCTGTAACCTTTTTCTTCACTAAGAAACAGTCTTGTAAAGTAAAGTATTATATTTTCAATGAAATATGCGATGAAACAAATAAATGACTTATTCAGTTGCTTTATTGTTTCTTTATTATTCTTGGAAGGCTAGAGATGCGTTGTGATGAAGTCTAGACAGCGCAGTTATTTCTAAACTTGGTAGAAAATGAGAGATGTGCTATGATGAAGTCTAGACAGGGCAGTTATTTCTAAACTTGGTAGAAAATGAGAGATGTGCTATGATAAAGTCTAGACAGGGCAGTTATTTCTAAACTTGGTAGAAAATGAGAGATGTGCTATGATAAAGTCTAGACAGGGCAGTTATTTCTAAACTTGGTAGAAAATGAGAGATGTGCTATGATAAAGTCTAGACAGGGCAGTTATTTCTAAACTGGGTAGAAAATGAGAGATGTGCTATGATAAAGTCTAGACAGGGCAGTTATTTCTAAACTTGGTAGAAAATGAGAGATGTGCTATGATAAAGTCTAGACAGGGCAGTTATTTGTAAACTTGGTAGAAAATGAGAGATGTGCTATGATAAAGTCTAGACAGGGCAGTTATTTCTAAACTTGGTAGAAAATGAGAGATGTGCTATGATAAAGTCTAGACAAAGCGGTTATAGCCCTACAATTGTAATTGTTACCAAAAATAGAAAAACATTTTCAAATAAAGATAGTGTCTCACTAATTTGACTCAATCGGCTTTTCCCCCACACGAGTTTACTGCTGACAAGTCTAAATCAAAAAAAGACAAAACAATATTCAAACAAATTGAGGAGTAACTTTAATACGTTTTGAATCAGGGATTTCACTTGAACAGTGTCGTCAACCCAGGAGGCTCCTCGGTTTTCATCTCTGCAACTTAAGCGCACCCTGAATATATACATTAGGAAATAGCGACAGCGAGCCGTCAAGCTATAAAAAAAAACACCTCCTAATCGTCGTACCCCCCCCCCCCCCCAACCCCAGGAGGGGGGGGGTCGGGGGCAGCACCTCTGTAGTCAACATGCCCCTTCACTACAGACACCGCGACGGGGGATTAAAGTGGGGGGGGGGGCACCCTGAATCACAAGGTGGCTAACTCACTGTAAATTTGCATGAAGTTCTGAAAATGTATAACATCTAACGTCTGTACATAAGAGAAAAATTAAAATCCTTAGTTCCCCTAACTAAACATGACTGCTCTAAAGAACGTTCTAGCAAAAAGCCAAATCTTCTCTAGTGGAAATTTACGTCCAGTTTTGTAACGCAATTATAGATAAATGATTTGTGAACAATAAAATTATTCCGGTCAAAGTAGGAAATTTTCGTTAAAATACAGAAACGCTTTTTAAGTTTAACATAATTGTGTTAAGATTGTGCTATGATTGTGTTATGATTGGGGAGACGGCGCAAGTACACGTGGATCTGGAAGCACGTCGACTTCTGCAACAAACCAAACTTCACGCCCAGATTGACTTTCTTGTCTGAGTTCGCTAGTTGATCACAGCACTCTATCAAGCGGTGGTACCGTGTACCGGTACTAGGTTGAAGCTCAAAACAAAAACCAACCAACACAGCCCGGACCGTGCCGAGGAAATGGTGTGCCCGGATCAAGGCCTGAAAATAGCGCCCCTTGTTGCATCAATACATATATATATATATATACATACATACATATATATATATATATATATATATATATATATATATATATATATATATATATATATATATATATATATATATATATATATATATATATATATAAAAAGA